GACTTGACTGTCTTGAGAAGTTCCTTCCATGTAAGCTACTTGTTTCCAGTATGTGGTTGGAAAAGGAACTTCGCAAGATACTCACAATTGGGGCCAGTGCCCCACTGGGCCTCAATTTGCTGCACTTCATATCCCTTTTTCTGGGGATAGGTGGACCAGATTGAGGAGACCTGCATGGGAATGCATCAGGTGTAAAAGGCAACAACTTCGATGCATCAAAGACATGATATATTCTGAGATGGGGTGGAACATCCAAGACCTAGGATGGACCAAAGGGATCAGTCCCCACTGTATCCAGAACCTGCCATGGACCATAATATAAAGACAACAACTTCTAATAGAGATCCACGTCGTCAAGAACTCGTACATCTTTACCTAGACCCAATGTCCTTGTCAGATGGTGGAAGGCCAGTGGCGTCTGTTAGCCTATTCGGTCATTCTCTTCTAGTCTTTATACATGTTGGTTCGTGCCTTCTCTAAGTTCAATTCATGATTTCTTGCCAACTGTCTAGTGCCAGGAGTTAGCTTGGGCTTTGCTTTGTCGATGATTCCATCGAGGGGCTGCCTTGGATCTCTACCACAATGTAGCCGGTAGGGCGTAAATCCAGTCGTGGTGTGGATAAAAGTGTTATACATTAGTTGAGCCCTAGACAGATGTTTGTCCCAATCTTGTTGATCTGGTGTGATCACAGGTCTCCGCAGCTGGACCAGAATCTGATTCATCACCTCGCCTGTCAATTGGTTTCAGGATATCTGCCAGATGTCATGTCCAATCTTGAGTGGAGATAGTCCTTACAGTAGGACTACCACTCATCACTGCCAAAACGTGGGTCTCTGTCGCTAACGATGGAGGTTGGGTGTCCATGAGCACTCACCCGCCTCTCAAAGAAGACCTCTCCGATCAAAGGGACTCTCACCTCGACCGACAAAGTAATGAACTCAACGTACTTAGAAAACTGGTCGAAGTAAGTCATGACCTGTCTCATCCCATGAGGGGTACTCTTGCCGAGCTCAGAAAAGTCAACTGAAATTGATTCGCCAGGACCATATGGGATAGATAGGCAGTGGTTTGAGAACTCCCATAGGGGTTCGCCTGCGAACCTTGTTCCTTTGACACATCTCACAATTGTCTTAAGTACCTCATAACATCCTTTTCCAAACCCGACCAATAGAAATGTTGGACCAGTCTTGATGATGTCCACGCACACCATGACTCTCAACAATGAGGTGAGTCTTGATCTTGTGGTCATCAGGGATACACAAACGTTTCGCTCCCTTGCTGATCGCATACAGAAAGTCTGAAGTCAGAGCATAACCTGGCTTAGAATTGGGGTTGCAGATTCCGGAGGATGGGTTCGAAGATGGGGTCTTGAGGCAACACATCAGCAATGGCCTCCCTCATAGAATCCCCAAAGGAGTCAGAATGCACAATGGTAGTGAAGGTGTCAAGTCTATTGGAAAGAGCATTTGCAACCCTATTATAGCATCCCTTTTTGTGCGTCTGTTCAAAGTCAAATGCATCTATGAACTGAATGTACCTTCCCAACTTATCATTTAACTCCCCTTAGGTCTTTATCCACTGCAAGGTCGAATGGCCAGAGTAGACCTTGAATTGCCTTCTTCGTACCAAGTGTTTCCACTGCTTCAGGGCACTCACAAGGGCATAAAGTTCTTTCTCATAAGTAGAAGTCTGTATCCTTTGGACTTCATCTTCTTACTCATGAGTTCCACCGGCTTAAGGCCAGTCCCATCATCTTGCTGGCTTGCATCCGTGTAAAAGCCAATTGGCTTTGAGTAGAGTAGAAATGTTTATAGTCGGGTGAATTAGGGCGCTCCTGTAGTAGCCCTACGTTTCCTTAAATCGTGGTGCGTTAAGAGGCACGACTTAGGAAGTATTGGTGGTTTAAAGGGATCACTAGGGTTGTTCGCCCCACAAAAGTGTCTAGAGTATTGGCGATTTGGATATTGTGGAAAAAACGCAATGCTCTACGTTTTGAAGGGAGCACGAGCAACCTCTCTTCTCTTAAGTACCTTATGATCTCCGAGCTCAAGCTCACAATTTGCAGCGGACCTCTATCTGCCTTGTCGTATAGTCAGGGCCTATTAGGCTACTTGCCTGTTCGACCTGTGAGACCACGTTGTGGCCTGACCCCACAGGCCGTGTGTTGTTTCAGTCCAATCCAGTCCTGCCCAGTACCACTGTCGGTACCAGTCCAGTCAGTCCGCTGGGGGTATACCCCAACTGCAGTCTGTTTTCATTTCATCCTTCATTCCGCACTTTTTGGAGTACGTGCGTGTTGAGTCTGCGTCGGAGTTGCGTTGTCCCTTCCAACTCAATCTCCATCTCCTCTTTCATCAACCCTCCGTGTCCATCCTGACGGAATTAGAGCGGGAACGTTCCCCGCCCCCACCCACCACAGCTCGAAACATGGTGTAAACCCGACAACGGATTTTTGACTGTTTTTTTGCCGCCACACACTCACACGAATGCGCCACGTGCCCCGCTACCCAGCCTCGCCCCGCTCCTGGATTATATTTATCAAGATTCGGGATGCATGTTGTTGCCAGGGTTTGAACCTAGGCAGCTGCCAGCTATGCGCATGCGTAGCCAACACCTTAACACACTGGTCAAACTCTGTGTATGTCCCCACAGTGTGGCACGCTGGTGTTGAAGAGTGTCACACCAGCGTTTGAATTTCCAACCCTCGTCGGAAACTGGCGAGCACCGGCCAACACAATAACAGCAGGTGGGCTGCTACCCCCCCCCCCCCCCCCCGGCCCTTCCGTCGCCGTGCCTTCTGCTGCCTGCACACGTGGCCATCTGCAGTGTCACGTGGCAGCTTGCTGAGGAGCTTGAAGACCCCCCTGGCTAGGGGGCTGCACTACGGGCAGATCTGCGTGGCTGATGAAGATCTCAACACACCCAGATGATTATTATTATTATTATTATTATTATTATTATTATTATTATTATTATTATTATTATTATTATTATTATTATTATTATTTTACTGTTGCACCAACAGTTTGGCAGCAGTGAAGACCCTCCTTGCTAGGGGGCTGCACCTCAGAGATAACACGACGCAGCGCTTCTTCGACCAGACGGTCCCCGACCTCCACTTTTCCCTCACCCTACAGCCACCAGATAGTACCCAGGCACCTCGCACGCTACCATTCCTCCGCATATTTGAAGACTGGATACGACTTTATCCTTGGCACTCCCTAGTCTAGCCGGTTCCGTGGCATAAAGGCCGAATGGGCGACCGAGACACTCGTTTTCAAAACGAAGTGTAGTCAAACCCATCGAGTTTCCTCCATCGGAACCATGGGGGACACCCCTCCCGACCTACCTCTACAGGACCCTCGTTCCTCTGGGTCTCACCCAAACATCGCCGTCACTTCTCCTCGTCTGTTTGCTCACTTCATACGATAGCAGGACATCTCTACTCAGTGAACGTCATGGATTTTCTTCATTATGATCCATTTTGTCCCGAGGTTGAGCTCATCTCATTGGAGCTTGATTCCCCTGACCCTTCCTCCATATTCGCGGCTCCCATCTCTACATCACCCCTTAGCCTGCGGATACCCCCTCGAGATTCCAGGTCCCTACGCCATTCACTGCCGAGTCCACACATATGTCTCGTGCCGACGCAGACATTGAGCAACTCACGTGGTTAACGACTGACTTAGAGTCCACCGTTCGCAATTTTATTCGAGAGTACCGCGACGTTTTCCCTCCGTATTTCTCATATAACGGGATCCCTTCAATGCGAGGTGTTGAGCATCCTATCCAGCTCGTGCCTGACTATCGCGTCTACCATCGGGCACCCTACCGACTCTCGATTCCAGAGGCGACAAAACTCAAGCGCCGGCTTGAGGATCTCCTTCGACTGAGTTTCATTAAACCCAGTAACTCCCCTTGGGGTGCACCCGTCCTCGTTGCTCACAAAGCGGACGAAATGTTTCGCCTATGCATTGACTACCTCGGCCTTAACTGTTACACGGTTAAAAACAGTTATCCCATGCCGGGGACATCCTTAGCTAGTAGGTTAGTTAGAGGTAGAGAAGTTTTTAATGAATTTATTCAATTTTATTATAATTGGAGACTTGTCCTATAAATGACCTGATGTCTCCGACTGTCGGGGGTTGAGGATGTTCCCGGACAGCCGCTACCTTAGAGGCTCCAGGGGCTAAGCCTTTTGAAGAAACCCACACGTGGTTAACAGGGGGTGTTATTTTTGGTGAATTTTGCACGGAGACTGTTATATTGCCCTGTGTCTTTGCTTTTTTTCTTGATTTTTTTGGTGTGATATTCGATTTTTTTTACCACTTTGTCTTTTTTTTTTAATGTTTGTATTATGTACGACCCCACATCACCGTGGCTTGGGCAGAACCAGCACATGAAGGTGTGCTGTCTTGGTATAGAGCATCACACGGCCTTGGCTTGGGAAGGAGCAGGACATCAACGTGGCTTGTTGTTGTGCAGCAGACCGTCTTGTGTTACGCAGCAGGAGCACCATGGTCTTGGCTCGGGCATAAGTCTCAGGGAGGCGGACTACGCAACCCCCCTTCCCTGGCACCCCTGCTCCCCAACCTGATTATGTTGGTATGTGGGAACAGAGTCGAGATGAACACTCAGCATTATCTTACATTGGGCAGAATCAACCGTGCACAGAAACAGGATGCCAAGGTGCCTTGCTGTGCTGCAGCAGACTTGCTTGTTCTGCCCAAGGCACGCCGATATGATGCTGGCTTGCTGTGGTGCGACACGTAGTCTCATTTTGGGCAGAAGGAGCACATGAAGGTGCTCTGCTGGACAGGAGCAGCGCAACTTGCGTTGGTGTGGTGCATTACAGCCCCTTGTCTTGAGCAGACGGAGGTAAGTTCTGCGACAAAGAGAGGTGGTTAATGGAAGGCCTTCCATTAACCGCTAGTGGCGACAAAACAACCAGCATTCGACAAGTTTTGCACATCAGCAGTGCACATTACCGTGCATGCGAACGCAACACCAATAATTGATTAACTTCAAAACTCCAGTCGAAAAAGATGAAAACGTATAACACATCATGCGAAAGAGCGGCTCCCCAAAACAGCAGAAGCAGGACATGAATGTGCGTAGTTATGATGCCGGACATTGTCTTGCTTACCGTGCTAGCTTGGGCATGGTGTTGGCTTGGGCAGAAACAGCATGTGAAGGTGCGTTGGTGGGGCGCAGCGCATTGTGTTGCCTCGGGCAGAAGTAAGGCCATCGTCACACTAGGACTTTTTCAACTGAGCTCTCGACGTGATTGTGGTCAGATGCATCCAGGTCTGGGCATACTTGCAGTCCGATACGTTGAGGAAAGTGCCCATATGAGTATGCGTCGTACGATGAGATAGTGGCGGCTGACAACATGCGGTGGTGTGCTACATCCTTTCTCGACAGGTTTTGAGTGCTTCTGCAGCTTTTGCTGTTTACAGTCTTGACCATTGAGGTCATAGTACCGTCATACGCACACCAGAACTTTTCTGAATGTATCTGACAGCAATTACAGTAGGACCTGGATGAATCTGACTGCAATCACATCCAGAGTTGAGTCAAAGAAGTCCTAGTGTGACTGGGCCCTGATACATGCATGATTGCATCTGATAATTTAAAATTTTTAATCCTGTGTGTTGTTTTCCAAAGTGTGTACAACTCCTTTGCCGAGGATAGGTGGTTGCTTTTGAACGTTGTTTTTTTCTTTTTGGGAAAAAAATTGCAAAACGCCCTTGAGAGTTCACGAATATGCTTAAATACCCCTAAAAGATTTGGGTGGAGGGGAATACCCCACAGAAATCTCAAAAGTTCGTGAATGCTCTTTTGGATTTAAATGTTTGCATTCTACCCTTGTCAGTGGGTCGCTCCAAGTTCGCGTTCCGCCCCTGGCAGGGGTACAACAAACCCCCTGACAGCCAGGTGACAGATAACACAAAGATTCAAATTCAAAAGGGCATTTCACAAACTTTTGTGATGTTGGAGAGGTATTCTGCTCTACCCACATCTTCTGAGTTTTTTATGGGTATTTTAGCATATACCTCAACTTTCAGGGATATTTCACAAAAATTCCCTTCTCTTTTCTTTTCTGTTTTGCCAAATCCTCGTCTCAGAAGAACGGGGGGGTACGGACGACATGTTGGGTCATGCGGCTTTCACCAATGTAGCGCTTCACATTTTCCATTCCTGATTGCATTTTTCCAGGACATGCGAGAAAAGAAGGCCATCGCGAGCCGAGTTGGAGGTTTTACTAGATTTGACCCCCCTAGGAACCCCTTAAAGCCTGTTGAGGGGAGCCTTAGCTATGGGGGGTATGCAGACTCTTTCACTACGGATGCGGTTAAAGAGGAAAAACAAAAGCAGAGAGAAAGGACAGCAAGGCTAGAGGTAAGATGATGTCTGTGTACCTCTTTTTTTTTTCTTTTTTTTTTTCTTTTTTTTTTTTTGCCTAGCTCAGTTGGTACACCCATGAACTGTTGAAATATGAATCAGACCAAAGTTCTAATCCAGATGCCGTCAGATGACGATAGAATACAATCATTCTGAATTTCCTGGCGCCGGTCAGTTCAATGCTGATATCTCAAGGTCATCACCTTTTTTTTTTTTTTTTAATAACCACTGCTACCTGCAGCACGATTGGCACCGAAAAGGATCCACAAAGACTGGAGGCCTGTAACGCACCAATTCCGCCCATGGATTTTATCGACGGCCGACGCAGCCGCCTCACACTTCAGGTAGTAGGCTATTACTTGAGATTCGGAGGCCTGCAGGTAGTGGTGGTTTAAGATGATGTCTGTGTGATCCTCATCGATATGCCACCCCTTTCCCAACCCCTTCTCCTCCCCTCCCTGCCATGCCCCACCTCCCTCCCCAACCCCCGTCTGCAGGCAACTCCCTCCCTCCTTCCCCACCCAACTCCCAGCTGCATCACTGGCATGGTGGCACCATCTGCCAAGAAGACAGCAAATGAAAGATGTTTTTCATTTTTTTTTCCCCCGGCTTTCAGGGTGACCATAGCCTCACGATTTCAAATATTTATATTTCTAATTTGCATCTGCCTGCCATGCTATCCATGCTAACAAGTGCTTCACTGTAGTCCCTGTGTGGTGGCTGAAAGTTGCGCACAGTGCCACAGACGGACACAACCGTTTGTAAACAGAGCTCCAACACTATGAAAATCGACCAGGTCATGACTTTTCCATCATGAGTCATGACTGTTTTCAGTTAAGGGCGCACAGCAGCTGCAATTGGCAGCGATCACATGTTTTAAAGATCAGCTGGCATCTGTTGCTCAGGGCAACCTAAATCAATGAGCATGGCCGAGCCGCGGAACGTAGTCCTGCACGCAAAAAAGCTAACGTTGCTCACATATATGTGTTATGTGCCTGATTGAAATGAGATCCAACATGGCAGCCACACGTTCCCATACGCATGTGCAATGACAAGTGCCCTTTGGAGGGAGCAATCCACACCACACCTGATTATAAGAATACACAGCGGAAGCACCTATATACCAAAAAATAGAATTGAAAAATTGAAATGAAAGTTGATTCTAATTACCGTCACTCCCCAAGTCAATCAACAGCACGAATTTCCGAGGATCCCAACCGCGTTATCAACACCCACGGACCAATTTTTTTTTTTTTGATTCAAGTTTACAAGGAAGGTTTCATTGAAGTATCCGGGAGTCTTTTTCTTCTTCCTCCCTCTTCCTCAAGCTCTAGCTATGGTGCTTGCAAGCACCCAACCTATCAAGCCTGCCAATCGCCACACACCCTCCTAAATCCAACACCCCTCTCTGCACCACTCAAGAAGCCCACTGCAGATGAAGTGTCCACTCAGCAGGGGAGCGCAGCTACCAGGATGATGAAGAAGAACAGCAACTCGATGAAGATGAAGATCTGCCACGTCCAAGAAGAACCACTGAAAGTGCAGCTTCAGTGGCAGCTGACCAAACCCCAACAAGCACACGAATACGAGGAAGTGCTCATCAGCTGTCACCAATGGAGCCAACCGGCCCCAGCTACCATCTTCACCCGAACATAAGGCATATGCGTTGTAAACGACTACAACGCATAGGGTGCTTTCTATTCGAATAGAATGCATATGCGTTCTATCCCAATAGTCCGAAATTTCGAATACAACGCATATGCGTTCTATTCGATTTTTTTTCAAATTTTGAAACTCGTCATATGCGTTATGTTCGTGGGAAGAAGGTAGGGCCGCCAGCAGCATGTGGAGAAGATGCCCTGCGGACATGTCCACAATAACGCAGCAGGGAACCAACGCGACCTCCACCAAGACTGTGAAAAGAAAAGCAACGAAAAGAACCCCAAATTCCTTGGCCTCTGCCTACTTCTACCCGACTGCCCTAGACCTACAACACAGCAGCCACCTACAGACCTATCTGACCGTGCAAACAGCAAACATCTAGGGTCAAACAGTCAAGATCTACCTATATGCATCTAGATGGAAACGTAGGCTAAGGGGACCCAAGGCTAGGACACAAAAGAAAGACCTACGGGCCTACCAGTTTGGGACAAAACAACAAGGCTGAAAGGCCTAAGACTAGGAAGTAGAGACTACTAGCGACAGGTTCAAGGTTCAACCCCTATAAGGCTCAAAAACAGTCGAACACCACAAACACCACAAACACACTACAGGTCATGGGATCAAGTCCCGGGTTGAGTTTAGCAACTGCAGAAACCGACAAAACCAGCAAAGCCTAAGGGTCTAAGACTGCCAAGTAGAGACTAAGGATCAAGCCCAGTAGGGCTCTAACGTACAAATTACAGGTCACGGGATCAAGTCCCGCAAGGCCCGAACCAAGGAAACAGCAAACACAGTTAGTGTATAGTCCCACTGGGATACTGATTTATTGCAAATGTGTGTGTGTGTGTGTGTGTGTGAGTGTGTGTGTGTGTGTGTGTGTGAGAGAGAGAGAGAGAGAGAGAGAGGGGGGTGTTGTTCTGGTAAACCTCGGAGAAAGAGAGGGGGCCAACACAGACACTTACACACACACACACACACACACACACAGAGAGAGAGAGAGAGAGAGAGAGAGAGAAGCAAATGGCATGCACTAGAAGCGAAACAAAACAAAACAACATTGAATAACAACGGGCGAGAACATTGCGGAATCCCGTATTGAGTTCAATTCCACACAAGACAGGAGGAATTGGTGAACTTAGATTTGATGATGAATTTCTGACATTTGTTCCGCTTTTCTTTCTTTTTCTTTGTTTTTTCTTTGTTTTTTTCTTTGTTTTCTCTTTGTTTTTTCCTTTCTTTTCTTTTTCTTTCCCTTGTTTTTTTTTCCCCCATCTTGCTTTCCTGTTCTTGTTGAAGGCCTGTCTTAACTCTAGGAGGGCGAAGAATCTAGATCGAGAGAAGCAGAGGTTAGAAAAGATGGTAGCAGAGGAAGAGCGTCAGCAAAAGCACAACGAGGACTTGAAAAAGTCAAAGCTTGCTGAGAGGAATATGACCAGCGCACCTTGCAATCCCATCACCATGAAATATGAGAATGACGGTGATGGGGACTGGCTCAAGTTTAAAGATGAACTTACAAGGTATAATACAATAGCATGTGAAAAAGAAAACAAAAAGTAAAAGCACTTGCTTGTGCGTGTGTGTGTGTGTGTGTGTGTGTGTGTGTGTGTGTGTGTGTGTGTGTGTGTGTGTGTGTGAAGGAAACAGAGAGAGATAAAGGGGTTGGTGTGTGTGTGTGTGTGTGCGGGGGAGAGAGGTGTGGAAAGAGAAAGAAAAAGATCTGCACAAATCTCTGAGATATGTACACCACACTGGATGTCAACCCTCTCCTGTTTCTTTTCATGGAAAAGAAATAACACTGGTCGATTCACTGAGAGCATCACGACGCAGGTGAAAGAATTTCACAATCGTCTGACACAGGTCCCAGTTCCAGTCTCATTCACAGCCCTAAAGTTAGTTAGCAACGGAAACAATCGTCCTTATTGTTGTTAATTTTGAGCACCTGGTTTTGCTCATTTACAACGTCTTAATTTTATGTCAAAATATCACATGCTCGCAGATGTGGCTACTATCATATGTACTCATGAGATTGCGTAAGGAGAAGTAGATAGGTAACTCGTGTCTTTTGTTTTTTTTTTAAGAGTTGTTTTTTTGCACCATTTCTCGATTTATGCGTGTCATGTCATATAATAAGCTCTCGATCAATATCTTGCAGCCCCCTATAGCAATATCTGTACCTGGTAGGTGGAGTTCTGTACGGTCAGAAGGAGTCCGGTAAGTACCGTAGATCGACATATCCAGTGTTTGGTAGGTCCAGTCTAGTAGGTTTGGCAGCCCAGTTCAGCTACCGGCCAGAGTCCTGGGGAAGCCGCAGAGCGTTCTGGATGAGTTCAAGACCGAGCTGTGGTCGCCAGACATCACGTACCGGTCCTAAGTGTCCAAGGAACGGAAGGCACATCATCGCTACAAAAGACAAGTCAGCAGCGATTGTTGAAATTTGCAATCCATTCCTGTTTGGCTGTAAATACTTTCTCGAAGATAGGCTAGAAGTCTGGGTATCATCCAGTTGAAGTAGTGAACGAAGATCAGCCTAAGACTGCTTTTCATATGCAGTATGGGCACTGAGTTCACAGTGATGCCCTTTGGACTGACAAACGATCCTGCTACCTTCCAACGCTATGTGAATCACTTGCTTGAGATTGGCGTACCCGTTTCATAGTAGTATACCTAGATTATATCTAAGACACGAGAGGAACACGTAAAACATATGCGCAAGGTGCTATCTTAGTTGAAGAAAAGTAAGTTCGAAGTAGAAGCGTAGAAGGATGAGTGGGCAAAACAGGTGTTTATCTTCGTCGTATGATAGATGGGGATGCAATCAAGCCGTAAGATACGAAGATAACAACAATTACAGGTTGGCCCATGCCCATGACTCTCACGGAACTCCATTCATTTTTAGGACTAGAAAATTTGTGGATTTTTTGAATTTTTTCTTCGATCGCACGTCCACTTCGTAGAGTGTTAAAGAAAGAAGCAGTTTACAAGTGGGACAAAAATTGTACCTCTGCATTTAGAAAGTTGAAACTACATTAAATGGGTATAAGTTTCGTATAACGCCCTTAAAATTGCCGACCCCTGCCTACCATTCGTAGTCACGATGGACGCTAGCCAGTAGGAGATAGGGTTTGTCTTGCAACAAAATGATGGGAACGGGTAGCACCCAATTGAGTTCATGTCTAAGCGGTTACCCTAAAAAAAAGTGGCAGCGTTTATGTACAAAAGAAAATTGTATGCATTGTACGAGGCCTTGCAGACGTGGCGACATTAACTCTTTGGTAGACACTTCAAGAAGTACTTCGAAAGAATTAGACTAGATTGTCAACTACGCTAGGTAGATAGTCACAGGAGATTGATAAGTTTGACTTTGAATTGCAACCAATTAAGGGGAAGTATAAGGTCTATTGGACATGCTGTCTCAGAGAGATGATGCCTTTAGTACGACTGTAATTTACCTCGATGTAGGAACAAACTTGCAATAGAAGATTAGAGAAGCATATGCGAAGGATCCTGTACTTATCAAGTAATGGACCATGTGAAGAACAAACCCCACAAAGTACCTGAGTATTGAATGACAAATGGATTACTCTTTCTTACATTCAAAAGGGAGGAGGATGGATTGTGTATTCCGTATTCCGAAGGATGGATTGTGTTAGGAAAGTGCCATGACACAGAAAGGGCATTTTGGGTGGAGGAAGACCTATGCAAATATGTTGCATTTGTTCATGTGGGCATGTATGAAGTTTGTCTCAACTACATCCGCGAGTGCACATGACACAGTTAACGGAGGGCCAAAAACAAGAAAACAAGCAAAAAATCAGGGCAATATAACAGTTTCAGTGCAAAATTCGGCGAAAAAAAAACACCCCCGGTTAGCCATGTGTAGTGCAAAGTGTATCAAAGGAATAAGAGCACGACTCAAGCACCCCTAGGCTTACTGAAACCAATTTCTATTCCCTCTGGACCAAGAGAATCGATCTCCATCAACTTCATGGATATCCGTTAAGATCTCCGCCAACTTCAGAAGAACCCCTTCAGGACATCC